TAGAGTCTCGTGGAACTCAATCATCTCTGGGCTTTTGTAGAATGGTCACAAAAGGGAGGCTCTATAGGTGTTCAAAGTGATGGTATTGGAAGATGTGGAAGCCGATAGTATCTCCTAGTGGACTAGACTCCCATGTTCTAAGTCCTTTATGTCAACATAGGCATCAAGAACACTGGTGAAGCATACAAAGACTTTTGCTTCCATCACTTTTATTTCCTTATTACTTTCTCGTAATTTCCTATTTTGATCCTCTCTTTCCTTTTCCAATCCCTCTAACAGTCTTTGTGTTGCCCAACTCAAGGAGGAGTATGCCAAACCCTTTGAATTTGATCTATCGTTTGACTTTCTTGCATTGTCTGAGCATTAAGCCACTACAATCGCAAAAAGACCTCCTTTGTTCAGTGTTTTCTAAGTTTAAAGCCTCTATAATCATTCATGATTCCTAGTGCTAGACATGTTTGAAATTCATAAATGATTTTCTCCCAGCTTTTTTTAAAGCCAAAGAGTGATAGTTTATCCCACTGTGGTCGCCAAAAGTGAGTAAGGCTTTTTTTGCCTATACTTGTGTTCTCGCCCCTGCTTGCAAAATAGTGACAAATAAATAGAGATGAGAACCTAGAAGAAGAGAAGCAAAAAGAGAAGATTGAAAATAAAATTAAGCTTCAAACCCTAAAGGCGTGAGTATGGATAAGCATATATCAGTCTCTCAACTTTACATTACACAAATAATCATAAATGAAAAAAAAGATGGTTAATTCAATGAAAATGCATATAACAGTGTTTCCTAGCACTTATAAATGCTATTTATATACTTTTAACTATTTCACACTTGTTTATGACAAGCGTTGCCTAAGTCAGGTCTTTCTTCTTTAAATGCCTAAGATTAAATGTAACTCTATTTCACCTAAGCTTCTTTCTTTTGCTCTACCTAAAAAGATATATAAGATAAAATATTTACCTCTTCATCACCCGCTTGATCCGAGGGGTAGGGTGTCAAGCAACTTAAGCTAATGAATTCTAAATAGATTACAAAATCATACCACATGTTAAGATTAATATCTGGTATGTTGAGTTTGCCTCAAATTGGGCTTGACCCAAGGAGTAAGGTGTCAAGGGAGCGGCACTCTCGGGAGAGTTATGGCTCTCAACTTTCGTTCATGAGTGCTTATTTGAACTTAAGTTAATAAATTCTAAACAAGTTGTCATAGCTAAGGAAGAATTTTCTAGTGTATTTGATGTCAATTTCACATAAATTCTTCTTAGCTAGATTACAAGGCATTCTCTATGGATCAATATCAAGTGAGCCTCTTTTGCCACTAGGTGGTTCAAGAAGATATATGACTTTGGCAAGTCATGTCATTAACCTGAAGCAAGAAATCAAAACTCAAATGCACACACTCACTCTCTCTCTCTCTCTCTCTCTCTCTCTCTCTCTCTCTCTCTCTCTCTCTCTCTCTCTCTCTCTCTCTCTCTCTCTCTCTCTCTCTCTCTCTCTCTCTCTCTCTCTCACACACACACACACACACACACACACACACACACACACACAAATATGAGCATGTTTAAAAGAATGCATATAATTTTGGACCCCTACTAATAGAGCCTATAGGGCATCTTGAGAGGTTTGTGTCACATGGCTTGGCATTTCTATTTACTGTACAATCTTCAATTTGAGTATCCAAATGAATTTAGTGGACTAACTAAAAGTTATAAGCACTTAGATTGCTGAAATTAGTCTGCAAATTCTTTCTTATCTTTTGTGGCATTCATGCATCCCTTTGGCCTTGATGTTGGTTCCCTGCCCTATTCCAAAGTGGTAGAGGCTACAAGGTATGTGAGATTTGCAATTTCTTTCTCACTCTTCCATATTGTAGCACAAACTAATTTTTAGAATTGTTTGATATTTGACTAGATATAATTTTAATAAGAAAAATATTGTTTAGTGGCCCTTTGCGCCAGCTCCAACCCCTCTAGCAACAGTGGCAACTGTTGTCAAACCACTCTAGCTGGTAGTGCTGCTTTGTGATTCCTCCCACGTCCATGCTCCATGGCCAGCATCATCACAAACATGGCAAGCATGAGATGTCCAGACTATAGAAGGCTTTGATTTCATCATAGTTGTTTGTTGTCTATGCCTTTGCAAAGGTGCATAATCCCAGTTTGTGGAGGTCCTGGCATGTCTGGTTTAGGCTACAATCTTTTGGTTCTCCGAACATCTTCCCATTTACCTAGAACCACCTATTAAGGAAAATGGGTTGCCAGGCTATTCTTTGGAATGGGGCTGTTTTTGGAACAGCTTGCATTTGAGTTGACACCAGTTTTTTTAAGAATGTACATATTTTTAACTTTGCATATGAAAGTTTATTTGGTGCCCAATTTGGGTGTCTATCAAGTGTGTTCATGATGATTTAGAAGGTCCTTAAAGAACTAGTTACGTAGTGACATTCTCCATGGTTAGTTCCCTAGCATGAGCATCCACATGAAGATTTTGAAGAGGAGCACTTTGCATTGTTCTTCAATATCTATGATTTCTTTGTGGTTAGGTAATGTGGCAAATCACCAGTCCAATTTAGCTCTGCCTCTCAAGACACATGAGAGCCATTCCAAACATATGTCCTAATGAGCTAGTTCATTTTGTAGCTCATTCTTTGGTCCATATTCCAGCACAATGCCAAGAACTAGATTGCACTGAGTATAATGTTATTCACGATTATGCAGCGCATTGAGAAAGATAGTTTCCTGCTTTCAAACATGTTCTCTTGATCATTTCCTGATTTCAATCTGTCTTCCACCCATAGTTGCCGGAAAACGTATGAAACTAAAAAAACGTAACGTTTTAAACGCGTTAAAAAACGCCGTTCCTATTTGCAAAAAGAGACAAAGGTTTCTTTAGGGTTTTTTTAGGGTTTCTTCAGGGTTCATGTAGTTATGGCAGGAATTGGAGGACGCCGCGAATGCTGGAGCTGGAAGTATGTGATACGAGTAGAGTGGCACTGGACATGTAAGTATTGTCATGAGATTCACACTGGGGGAGCGGAACCAGTGCGAGCACATCTTGCTGGAGTTCAGGCAAGAGGTGTGAAAACGTGCAAGGCAATGAGGGAGATCCCTTATGAAGTTCTTAAAAAAGCTTGCAGCAGTTTTTCCGATTTCGAGCTAGCATCTTCTTTCATTTGTTTTAGTATGTTATTTGGTTGGGTTTTATAAACTTAATATCAGATTAAAGTGTCTTTAGTAAATATTAGTGTTTTCTTAATCATCTTAGGCTTTAACATGTAAACGTTTGATTGTCCTGAAAAAAACGTTTTAAACGGCATTTAAACGTGGACACGTTCGAACGTTTGCACGTCTAGCTGCAACTATGCTTCCACCTCACTAGACAATCATGCTTGGAGACACTCCACTTGCCCGAGACCCCTTTCCATTGATGGTGGACAATATCATTTGCACTCTCCCCAATATGATCTTTAGACAAATCTTCAAGGCAAGAAGACTATTCCCCATCGTCACCCCCGAATATGAGGAACTCCCAGATCTCCATTGTGCCAAGCCAGTCCATATTATCCAAATGGAGAAGAAGATGGCAAACATAACCCTTATGTGGACAATTTATATATTATTGCTAGAACTCATCCAGCATTGCACGATACAGAAAGCACATTATCAGTGTCTTTATTCTTGTTTCCAGACTTTGGCACTGCAGAATGATGAAATCAATTACAATGCTGATTCTTAACTTGGGCTTACCCCGTGAAACGAGAGGTTTCAGTTGCGCCAGCTCCAACCCCTCTGGCAACGGTGGCAACTATTGTCATACCAATACCACCCCGACTGGCAGCGCTGGGCAGCAGCCTTTGCGATTCCTTCCACGTCCACGCCCATGGCCAGCATCATCACAAACATGGCGAGTGCCAAAAACAACACGAATAAAGCCTTGTTCTCCATGATTTGCTGACGGCTCATATTTATAGTTCGAGGCAGCTACAGGGACTCTGTAGTCAAGTTCCGTGTTTGGGAATTTCTTTTTTTTTTCCAGCATTATAAAAAAAAAAGAGAAGAAATTCCGAAACACGGATAAGGACTGGGTTTTAGGTATGGAACGAGCAATCATAGATTAAACCATAACAAGCTTACTAGCAGCAAAAAGGTTGTTGTCGTCACGTTTGGGAGGAATCGCACCTCGAGGATGGCGCTGGTATGGATCGTAAGTTTCCTCTCGGGGATTATTTAGCAATTTATAATTCAAACCGTGATAACTATGAAGAACAAGTGACCACCGTTTCCTTTTTACAGAAACGAGCAGAAATCCAATTGCCCCATATGAAATGCCACCTTTGGAAACGCTTATTCGCCATTGACAAATCAAAGCTCTATCTTGTCAGTCGAGAGAGTTTACTGTATTCCAGGAAAACGCCGGTAAAAGCAAAGGAAACGATTGATGAGAGGAATCACTATCACGCAGACGTACCAATTGAAGCCTCTAGAACAGGCCGTGGACGATCTAGAGCGGCGTGCATCGTCGCTCGACGACGACTACGCGCAACTCCTCACAGCTTGCATCCAGGAAAGAGATTTGCGCCAGGCTCCACGCGCTCATCCTTGGCAGCAGCCACCACCAATCCAACAGGTACCTCGCAAATCTTCTCATACAGCTCTATGGAAGGTGCGAGCGCGCGGATCGAGCATGGTTTATCAGCATCCACGAGCCCAACAGATTCTCCTGGAACTTGATGCTTGGCGCTTATGCCCAGAATGGGTATCTCGAGGAAGCAAAAGAGCTGTTTGACCAGATGCCACAAAGGGATCTTGTTGCATGGGTCACTGTTATCTCGGCTCTGCAAACCGGGGAAACGTGGAGGAATGCCAAGCATTGTTTGATCAGGTTCCAGAATGGGATGTAGTTTGCTGGAACTCGCTACTTACAGCATATGCCCATAACGGATCAAGCAAGCCAGGTCTTTGATGGAATGCTAGAACACAACATAGTTTCTTGGACTGTTATGGTTACTGGGTATGCAAGAAAAGGTCTTGTTAACGATGCGCTAAATTGGTTTATGAGAATCCCCGAAACCAACGAGCTGGGATGGACTGTTCTTGTCACTGCATATGCCCAGCTTGGGCATATTGAAAAAGCCAAGGAGCTTTTCAGTAAAATGGCACACCGCGACTTAATCTCGTGGAACGCAATGCTAGCGGCAACGTCCAGCCTGCAAGAAGCGGGGTCTCTGTTTGATGCCATGTCACAGAGGAACGTTGCATCGTGGTCGGCAATGATCACAGCACTGGCTGAGAGAAACCAGCTTGAAGAAGCTCGCATTCTCTTCGATCGAGCTCCTTATCACGATGACGTGGTGTGGACTGCCATGATTTTGGCCTACTCCAACCACGGCCACCTCGAAGAAGCCCTGAAGATGTTTGCACGGATGCCACAGTGCGATCTCGTCGCTTGGACGGCAATGGTGGCGGCAATTGCTTTGCACGGGAGCTTGATCGATGCCAGAGCCTTGTTCGACAAAATGCCACAGCATGATAGCGTCACGTGGAACACGATGCTGGGAGCTTACATCCAGAGCAATTGCCTCGTCCAAGCATGGGAGCTCTTCGCGGCCATGCCAGTGAGAGACACAGCGAGCTGGAACGCAATCCTTGCCGCGAGCACTCAAAGGGGGAATCTCTTGCAGGTCGGGAAGATCTTCTCCACATTTTTGTTGTGGAACGCGCTGATCCATGGCTGCGCACAGAATGGCCATGAGCAAAAAGCTGCTGAGTTCTTTGGCAGCATGGCGATGGAGGGCGAGGCGAGAAACGTGATAAGTTTCCAGGCAATTCTCCTGACTTGCTATCACGGTGGGAAGCTCTGTGTGGCACTCGACTACTTTTGATCTATGGTGGCCGAGTACAGCATTTCTCCAAATGTGATTCACTTCCAGGTGATGGCAGATGGTGCTGGGACAAGCCAGGCTGGTTGCCGAGGCTGAAGGCCTGCTGCTGGTGATGCCCTTCCAGCCGCATTTCCTCGCGTGGAAGAGCTTGATCAGCGCTTGCAAAGTTCATGGTAGCGGTAAGAACATCGATGTTGCAGCTTGTGCTGCAGAGAAACTCTTGGAGATGAAACCAGGGGACTCTGATGCTCTACGTGCTCATGTCAAATCTGAAAAGCAGCTGTGATGAGTCCATTTGGCCAGTTAACTTTCTATCAATGTAACATATGCGAAAGTACAATATTAAAGAAATAAATATCTATGTGAGGGCCAAGTGTATGGCTATGCTGCCATATATTAATATTAGTATAATGGGATTTTGGTAGCTGTCGGATTGATTTCAATCCGGACCATTCGCTCCTATATATAAATTAGGGTTCTTGGGCTAATTAAAATGCATATTTTTTGTATTCTCTTTCCATATTCCAAGCATTCACATTGGTGGAAGTGAGGGGCACCTTTGATTGTCCCTAAGAAGTGCTTGAATTTGGGATTTTGGTTTAGATCTTAGTTTTTTCCATTTCCTTCTTTTTGTTGTTCCCTTTTAGGATTTTGGTTTAGATCTAGCTTTTTGTATTGTCTAGATCTACCATTTCCTTCTAGTTTTTTGTCATTTCTCTTCTTTTGCTCTTTCTTTTTCGTTCACTTTATGTCAGATAAACCCTCAAAGAAACAAGGTACCATCTCAAGCTTAGTATAATGGACCACTATCAAGAATCTAGTGCAAACGTCGAGCATTATCCCAAAAATGATATGTGGCAATCATCGTGAAGTGATTGAACCAATAGTACACATCATCCTTAGGATTCCTGCGAAAGAACTCTAGCCGAATGCGAGGATTGACACCAAGAGGAGGAGGAGTTCTACCACATGCCATGAATGCCGCCATCAATTGAGTTTGGTTGTTCAATTGCAAGTGCATAGCATCAAGCAATTGGACCAACTGCTACTTCAGAGTCAAAGGAGGAGATTGTTGTTTGCCCATTGAGGTGTTGAAAAGGGTTATAGTATTCACTTACTATGGCTTGTTAGTGAATCTATTAACACTTGGAGTAAATTATTGAATAGAGAAGTTAAAACATTGACATTGCTAGCATTTGTGTTAGTAGAAGTGGCATTGTAGTTTTGAGTGATGAAGAATTTTCCTTAGATCTTGATTTTCTATGTCATTTTTCTTGTTAGTGTTTTAGCTTTACATTGGATCTTGAAGATGGTTGAAGAAAAGTGTTAATTCAATATGGATATTCAAAGATATGGTCTTTGTGATCAAGCCTTGGATGTTTATTTATATTTCGCAGATGTTGGTGTTGGATGTCATAAATATAGGCAAGATTTCGATGCTTAAATATGCTACTAGGTCATAAAACTTTGTGTTAATATGTGAAGTTGTTAGTAGGAGGAAGTTAGTTGAGTCTTGAAAGTTTATATTCCTAAACTTAGAGTCATTATTTCTTTAGGATGAAAGATTTCCACAAATTTTCTTAGACTTTTTCAATAACTAATATGTTGATCATTTTTGCCTGAAAACCATTCCACTTTTGTAAGTTAGTATAAATTAGTGAACTTCGGTTATGTAGCACACGTGGTTTTGACCTTTTATCCTATGGTGATTTACCATAGGATAACACCACGAAGCGGAACCTAAGCCCTCTTTATACCATGTGACACATGCCACATGTCATATGCCACATGTCCAAAGGACAGTGGTGCGGAACCCAAGGTTCAGGGCCTTGGGCCACTGAATGAAGGAACGGTGCCAAACTCCCAAGCATAGAGCCAAGAAGTGACGGAACCGAACCATGGAGCAACTCCCGAGCATACAGCCCAAGGAGTGAAGGGACAGGAGCCTGGAGCGACTTGGAACAGTCCTAGAGCAACTAGCATCTCAATGCCAGGACCAGCACGCAAAACGGAGCCAAACGGAGTCTAGCTCTATTTCAGCATACTGGTGGCCTAACGCGAGGATATAGGTACCCCACCAACTAGCATGGTATGGAACTTGGGCTTAGACCTAAGCCAAACACAGAACAAGGACAGGCACACAAGTGAAAGCTAGACTATGCCTTAGGTTGGTTGGCCATGCCCAACCTACCCACTATTTCTACTATACATTTAGAACCCCTTATAACCCCCCCCTGAGGAACACACACTTTGGGCTTTCACCTCAAGCCTCCTTTAGTACCAGGAGTTAGTTTTTGGTCGAAACTTACTAAATATGGAATATCCCTAGATTGTGAATTTAGACACGGGATGAACACCATTGTGTTCAGGCCGATCTCTACATTCCGTAGATGTGCCAAATGAGCAAATCTGGACACTTTCCATAAATAGCATTTGGGACCGAAATGAGACTAACACAAAGGGCATGATAGCGAAGGTGTTTGGCAGACACGGTAAGCTATCATACAGCGATATTGAGGGACCAATCTCAATACGTGAGGGTTCTTGTCAAGCTAGTGCAAGACAGAGCAAAAGAGAACTAACAAGCTGGGCCAAGTATGCTCAGCTAAATAAACACTTAGGAATTCCTTCCTTCTCCTCATCTGGCCAAGTACAGATGCTAAGCCCAGTTTACTAACACTTGAACAAGAGGGACTAATAAAGGGAACCAACAATACCAACCTCCTGCCATCGTGGCAGTAAGGTAAGAGTGTCCGTAAGGACTGGCTGACAGGTAACTTTCGATACCCGAAGTCACATTCGCGACAGGTTAGCTTAGACCTTAGTATGTAGTTTGTATGACCCGAAAGGGATATTAACTTTTGAGGGTAAAGCAATTAAGTTGGATAGAGTTTAGAGTTAGTGTAAAAAAGTGGTTACGCTTTTCTAGAAAAATAACCCTTGCACATTTCATCTGTAGCGTTATGTTAGGTGGTAAGTTGCACTTTGCATTTCATTAGACTTTATGAGAGTAGTAAGCTTTCACTGATCTTGATTTGGTCTTGGTGTCCTTGCACCTTAGCTAAGGATGGTGATATCCAACTTAGTTATTTATAGTTAAAATGTTGGTACCCATACTATGGTTTTATCTATGAGGAGGTTGTGTCCTAATATGAGTCCATCTCATGGTTTTCACTTTAGTTTCGGCTAAGTGTTGATCATGTATAGCTAGCCTCTTCAAGGCATGCTCAAAGCTATTAGCTAAATGTGGTTATTTAGTTCGTATTTGTTTATGTGCCTATATCTCGTACCTGAGGTATTACATTCATATTGGACAAGTGTATAACTTGATGACATGAGTTTAGTGTTTGGGTCTTGTGAAGGTAAGTTGAAGAGTGATTGTTAGTTGCTTTGCAACTAGTAATTATTTGTAGATTTTGTCTAGGACTATTGACACTTTCTTTGCTCAATGAAGATTTATCAGTGATGGGCTTGTTTTGCCAAATGGTGTTGCAAAAAATCATGTCATTAGACTTATATAGTTTGTATATCGACTCTACTTTTATTGATATTATTTTGTTACATTTAGTCCGTGGTGTTGGATTTCATTGAGTCTTGGATATGGTGAAACACTCCTTGATGATGTGTTATCTGAAACTAAGTATTATTGAAGAATTGGTTTCAGATATTGATTAAGGTATCTTTAACTTTAGTTAGTAGAGAGCTTTGAGTAGTGATTCGTTTTTGTCTTCTTTTAGCTTTGTTCTAGTGTTGATAGCATTGAAGTGATGCCTTATCATTGATATTATTAATGTTGAGATTCGAATGAAATGAAATATCTCTCTTTAAGATTGATATTGACTTTCATTAGTCTTGATGAAGATAGTGTTGATGATTTGGCTATAGCTTTGTATTATTGGCATTTGTGCATTTGTTAGTTAACAACTATACTGACGTTCAAAGAAACTGAGTGGCAGGTTTGAGTTAGTTATATTCTAGGTTGGATTATTTAGTAGGGGTTGAGTGTTAGCTTTTCCTTGAAAAATGATTTAATCATAAACTATGCTAGCTTTACGAGAGGAAAAGTTAGTGATCAATATTGGAATGTTTGAATCCTTGTTGGATTTGAATTGGGATATATTGACCATTAATGATGCTTGTTATGAAATAAATTACGTTTTGCTATAGAAGATAGATTCATGGAGGATCAGTTTGATGATCACTTGTTAAGCATAACTTTGTTGTATTTGGCTTTTGGATTGATGTAGATATGCTCTTCATTAGTTTTCCATTATGAGGTTTAACTTATGGATGTGTTGAGGAGGATATTATGGGTTGTACCATGATTTCTTCTTCAACATTGAAGTTAGTTCATGTGAGACTCATGATCATTATTAAGCACGACTTGGCTATATGCTTCTTCAAGCTTTTGGTTCTTTGAGTTTTTATGCTTATTGTTCTATTTATTAGAAGTTGTTGGGGAAGGTATTTTGGCTCATAGCTTCGATGTAAACTTCATAATGCAAAACTAATTGAAGAGCATTTCTACATCAATCCAAAAGCCAAACATAACAAAACTATACTCAATAAATGATTACCAAACCAATCCTTGAAGTTAATATTTACATTTGGCAATCATTGGTGATGATTGACTGTCATCTAGGATAATTGATTATCCTTGTTAAAGGTTTTGCTAAATTGTTGTTGATATAAAATGATTTGAAATTCTTCAGATTGGTGAATTCTTTCTTCAACAATGGTTATGCATATTTAATTTGATAGGATGATTAATGATCTTTTATGATAGTTAGTAATTCTCTTTGATGGCTTATGGTTATTCACAATACCACATATTCTTTATGATTTGCTCTGGATTGGTCTTTTGGGTTTGAGACATTGGTAAGATATTATTGATGCTTGCTTAAGCAACTCAAGTTCTTTCGTATTGTTGACTGGGATCTATTTAGATTGACTAGTGCGATAGTTGATATGAATAAGTGTTTGTTTGCTTTGCAATATTCATTTTATTCTTATTTGATTGTTATTCGAGTTAGTTCTGATAGATTTGGATGTTATTTCCTTCAGGTGATACATTTGCAAGTATTTTGCTTGCTAGTCGATGATACTTATGTTCTTTGAGTTATGTTACACAAGTTTTTTGGCACGCTATCTACAATTTTTGATAGTTAAGTGTTATGAATGTGACTTCGGGTATTGAAAGTTACTTGTTGGCTAGTTTTTATGGACACTCTTTCCTTACTGCCACAATGACAGAAAGTCAATATTGCTGTACCCTTTATTAGTCTC